GGGGGGGGGGGGGGTAATTCGACGCCCTCCTTTCGCTGGATAGCCGATGCAAACGGGCTGGATGGATGCAAATTAACCTGGACCAACGACAATCGCGTGAAATTTATTTACAAAATTTAAACATTTACGTGTCTCTCCAAATCTTTCGATTCCATTTTTTCTTCTTCTTTTCTTTTCATCGCGAAAAGAGTTGAAAGAAGCAAGAAATTTCAAAGCCAACGATCGAGATAGAATTATTGATCGATGATTTCCAGTCGAGTCCCAGAAGGATTACCACGCGAGGAGGAAACACCATCATTACCCGAGGACAACGACGACTACCGTCTTGTCAACGACCAAGTCGCCATCGGTTAGCACAACGACGGTCACAACCGTGGTCGAGCAAGTAGAGGATAATCAAATACCGGAAGTGACGAGGTGGACAACCACCGAACCCACGGAAACTTGGGAAATCACCACCACTAGCAGCACCACCATTAGTACCACACCCACCACCACCACCACCACCACTACGCCGCCTCGTAAGTATACACACGCGTTTCCTACACACACATATATATAAACCAGTCTCCTCTCTCTATCTCCAAAAACTCGAACAACGTCTCCTTTCGAACAATTTGGAATTTACTTGAGGGTGAATAAGAATTTCCAAAATCTGGGTGGAAGGAAATGGATATTGAAAATGGGACTCCTCGATGAGTGGATGCGTGCAAATGTGTTTCCTGGACGTGGAAAATGTGGAACTTCTTTGATCCGTTTGAACCGGGCGGAGAAAAGAGGGATTCCGTTCAATCCGTTTGAACCGGGCGGAGAAAAGAGGGATTCCGTTCACAGGACACACACACACACACACGCGCGATGAGGAATTTTCGTTTCGCCCCGTTTGGCGTGCGTCGAACGTTACAAAGCGAGGCACGGTGATGGCGGGTGGTTTGAAACACCAGAGGTAAAAAGAAAAGATTCGAAACTATGGAGGAATGAGGGTGGCGACGGTTTTAGGGTGGGTCGAGGGAGGGGTGGGGGAGAGCGAGAAAAGGAGACGGGGAAAACAGTTTGCCAGGAAACGTTGTACCTGTCTGAAACGCGTGTCTCTTTATAGGCTTCTGTGTGGTTCAAAGGCCGAGGCAGAGTCACCAATACATAAGGGAGGGCGAAGGAAAGAGGGTGAGTTTCGACAATCTGTATTTTCGCGTCCGATCGGGCGAAAAGGGAACGATTCGGGAAACGGATCGGGGAGAACGTTCAGGAAGATGTAGGGAATGAGAGATTGAAAATTAAGTTGAATCAATCGTTATTTTTTAAATTGGGTTATTATTGAAGAGAAAGATCAGGAGTTTTCGATTTTCTAGCGATTCGAAGCGATTTAGTTTGAATTTTAATAGAATTTTGATAGAGTTTGATCGAGTTTTATTACTACTTTTGATTAATGGGATGCCGAAGAATCGATTTAAAACTTATCTTTAAAGTCTTTTGCTTAAAAATATAGTTTTAGTATAGCTTTATAAAATATGTTATACGTTACATTGGGATACAATATCAAATGCTATTTTTTTCCTCCGTTTTTTTTCCCCTCTCTCTCTCTCGTTGAAATTTATGTAAAATATATCGAATAGAGTATAGTAAATAATTCAAAAATATCCTTTTGTTAATTCGTTAAACAATTTCCGTACGTTTATATTGCTTTTTTTTGTTCACCTTTGATACCATTTATTAAAATCAAACATTGTTAAAAAAATATCCATTGTGCGGTTTCACTGGTTTTAATCGCGTACGCGGTGTAACGCGTACAGGATTTCAGAGAGTTTGGTTCTCTCGGAACGCTTAGCGGCAACACGGGGCAAAGCCTTTTAATTGGTGCAAAAATGAAAGAAACACGGTCGAAAATAATAAACAAGCTTTTAATGCCGTTTCGCGCGATGAAAAAAAATTGCGAATCCACGGAAGTTCATTATCTCGCCGATCGATGTGCGTGAATTAACAACAACGTCGAATCGGGGAGTGAAAAGTTTAATTCGAAGTGGCACGATTAACGTCGGCGATAATTAACATTCAGTGTACATGTTTTTGAAGCTGGGTCATTCATCTTTAAAACGGTACGCCGTGTATCCCGATTATCGTGTTCCATTACAATTATCAATTTCAAAATAACAAGTAAAATTACAGGATTTAATATCTGGAAAATCCTTATCCTAAATTTTCTCTTCGTCGAAATTGGAAATTTTGAAAATTATTCATATAATTCATATATATACATATAAAAGTAAGAAGAAAGAAATTTTTTAATCATTCGTTATTCTTTAAGTAAATTCTTTAATATTTCGAAACACATCTTCCTGAACTTTGATCCTTTTCATCTTGAACGAAAAAAGAAAAAAACGAGTCGTAGAGCCAAATCATCAGGATCGAGTGAAAAAGATTTAAATCCGAGCTTATGCACTTTATACTCTGAAACCAATCCGTATATGCTCGATTCGTATGTAGCTGTATCGCGAGGATGAACCAGAATGTTCGGAGTTGTGCCAATGCGGCGAGGGTGAAGTTTTGATCTGCAACACGATCTGCGTGGATTCATCGCCCTGCAAGACGGACTTCGCCTTCTACAATCACGAAGCACCGGCGTATCAGGCGCATCGCGGACCCTGCCTTTGCTATAGCGGTCGTTTCATATGCATGCGGCCATCACCCGGTGAATATACTATCCTTTGAATATCGTTCGAACAGATTCACATCCCAATTAAATAGAATATTCAACATTAATTCTTTCATTAACAAGATAGCTCGTGCATAATTTCACTATCGTAATTAATTCTCCCTTACAAGAGATTTTTATAATAATCTTCTCGAATTGTCTCTGCAGACGCTTACTCTATACCGCACGGAGTTTTCATGTTCCTGGGCTACAGCGAAAAGGACGAGAGTTTGCTGCGACGGCACAATAATCTCACCGTCCTGGACGCGGTGTCGTCCCTCGATAACTTCATGAGAGAAGAAGTTAACAATCAGGTAAAACATCTTAAAACTCTTACTTCATATACTCATACTTCATATATATATATATATACACGATCCGATATTTTCAATCAATCCGCCATCTCTCTTCTCGAATCGAAATTTCGCGACACGTTTCACAAACTCGAAAGAAGATTTGTTTCGATCCGGCTCCAGGAATTGAACGTTGGATCGAACGAATTTTAAGCCGGCTGCGTTCCCTCGGAGGGCCGTCAAGTATTCACGCGAGGAGGGGGGACGAGAAAAATCTCGAGAGGCGAGAGAAGAGAGACGGATCGGAAATATAAAGGGAACACCAGGTCTCGCTCGCCAGGCGAAACTTAATAATGCGAGATAGCGTTGGAG